TAGGGTCAGGCAGAGCTCTGTGTATTTGGTGGGCAGAGCTCGGGGTGCTGAATGGCTTATGATGCATGAGCCAGTTCAGGTCACTTAAAAAATATTCCATTCATGGGGCTTCCCTGGTGGCGCAGTGGTTGAGAGTCCGCCTGCCGATGCGGGGGACGCGGGTTCGTACCCCGATCCGGGAAGATCCCACATGCCGCGGAGTGGCTGGGCCCGTGAGCCATGGCCGCTGAGCCTGCGCGTCCGGAGCCTGTGCTCCGCAACGGGAGAGGCCACAGCAGTGAGAGGCCTGCGTACCGCCAAAAAAAAAAAAAAAAAAATATTCCATTCAAAATGCCAGTAACACCCCCACTGAGAAACACTGGGTTAGGAAAATAGAACTTTCCTTGCAAAATTTAGCTCTTTCAAAAGTTGCATCATGATGCCCTCAAAGTCTACCTCACTTGCTTATTAAGGTATTTCTATTTTACTCTAAAATACTTAAGAATATACAATATTGTGTATGCATTCATTTAGGTTACATTTTTTAGGAATAATCAATTGTTCTAGTCATGAATTTATACCCCAGATATGGCAAGCTCTGATCAAGATAACTATGATGTAACATCACAGGTTTTGTTCCTTAGAATAATAAATGTTAGAAGTATTTTAATTTATAAAATATGGTACTTAATGATTAGCAAAATGATGGTTGTAATGGGTTTTCATTAGTGAAATTGATATTAATAGAGATATGTAGATCAGCTCTAAATGGTAGAAACGTTCTTACCCCTTTATGGTATAAAACAGGCATGTCAGTAATGATGCCTAAGGCTTTATTGCTAAATGGTCCTGTTTTGCAGCCGCTATTTTGAAGCGCTCTTGATGTGCCTGAATAGCCAAGTTGTGGTAATGTGGCTCTACTTATTGGTGATTACTGATATCTACTGCAAATAGCACAATATTTGTACATCACCAGTTTGTGTTAGGTCAATATGCAATATGATCCTAATCAGTCAGTCTCTTAAACAAGTCTAAGAGAGCATTTAACTAATGGAGTTGGGACAACTATCAATGATCACAACCCCTTCCCACCTCCTGACCCTTCCCCCATCCCCATCCTCAAAACTAATATCTATTTGTACTGCTGATATGAATTAGAAATACTGTTTTGCAAAGTGAGAAGTAGGAATAAAGTTTAGGCAACATGATATGGTGGGAGCCAAGCCAACAACCTAACTTTGAATCCTGTGTCACTCACTTGTGACCTTAAACAACGCACTCAATCTTTCTAATCTCCAGTTTCCTGTCTTGTAAAACTGGGTTGTGTACCTGCCTCATAGGACACTGGGAGAATTAAATAAGTGAATACTTGTAAAGGGCTAAGCCGAAAGAGCTTGGTTCATTACAGGCAATGAACAGTATGATGATCTCATTCATTCGATCTCCCTTTACGCAGAAAGCGTAACCCAGGGGACTGTCTCTTACTCATTTTTGTACTTCTGGCATTGAACAGATTGCCGATTGCTTGACCCAGGGTTTGTGTTCAGTAAATATCTGTTGAATAAATGAATTTAACATTCGTTTTTTTGGAAATTAGCTATATTTGCTAAGTTCTCTGACATCCTGGAATCTGTCCATATGCTGTATTACTCCTCCTTTTGATACTTTTTAAAGATGAAAATGCCACTAGAATATGCTCTATTCATTAGTAGAAGAAATACTGTAAAAGATTTAAACCAATATCTTTTTTTCCAATAGAGCAATTGAAGACAATCCAGGCTTACCTAGGATGTAGAATTTCATGTTACGTGCCTCAAGTTGATTAATTTATGTAATAAATGTACTTAAATATACTGTTTTCCTAAGAATCTGCATAACCTGATGATTAGAATATAAAATGGCAATTTGGCAATGTGTATCAGGAGCCTTAAAAATGTTCCTAGTAAGTAGTCCCATTTCTAAAAATGTATCCTAATGAAATAATAATTTATATACATATGTAGAAAGATGATCATTGCATCGTTATTTTTATGAAAAGAAGGAAGTCATCTGAATATACAACAAGAGGGGAAAGGCTAAATGAACTATGGTAACCAATTGTAGTACTCTTTAAGTATATGTTTGGAAGAAATTAATATATATGTTCACTAAAATGTGTCTACAGAAAGTTCATATAAACCCCGTTTGTGATAGCTCCAAACTGGAGTCTGCTGAAATACCTATTTACAGTGAAATGGATGTACAATATATAGTATCTACATATAATGGAATATTATTTATTAATGAGAAGGAGCAAACTATTGCCACATAAACAACATGGATGGATTTCAACAACATAAATTTGAATTCGAAAGCCAGACATAAAAGAATATATACTGCATTATTTCACTTCTTAAATTTTCAAAAGTAGGTAATACTAAAATTAATTATGCTATGGCTATGAAGTGAGATATTATACAGCTATTAAAACATTTAAAGACATTGGAAAATGCCCATAATTTAATAAAATTTAAAATTTAATTTAAAATTTAAATTTAAAACTGTATATATAATATATGACCCCCATTCTGGAAAAAAAAATATGTAAGTTGCTATTAGAAGTACCAGTCAGGGTCTCAATAGGAAACACATGGTACACTCAAATTAGGATAATTAGAGGAGGCTTTGTCTTAAAAGGGGGGGCAGGGTATGGCGGACCACAGGGAACAGTACAGCCATACGGCTGTCACTACCCCAGACCGGATGTGAACAGGAGTGGTTCCCAATCCCGGGAGAGAGCTGCCCATAGAGGAGAGGGGCAGTGGCCTTTGGGTAAGGGATGCATCCCGGCTTCAGTGAATTCAAGGGAGGAAGAAAGGGGATCATCTAACTCACTCTTCTCCCTCCTCCCAGCCTCCTGCTGGGGCTCCCCATTAACCAAGGCCACCCAGAAGCCAGAGCATTGCCAATGTGGTCCCTACAGTTCAGCCCACCAGACAGAGAGCAGGATGCACAAGGGTAGGGCATGGATGTGGCACACATGCCACATATGGGACTGATAATTCCTTTGGTTACCCAAGGGAGAGGAGGTGCTGCAGAGATGATCAATTTTTTTTCTTAACTACCTTTATATTATTTTACTGCTGCCATAATACATGCATTTTTTTAAATTCTGGGGAAAAACGTGTGTCAGCATGTGTGTGTGAAGGGATATGTGCCTGTGAGGGTATGGATGTAAATGAGTTTGTGTGTGTGTGTGTGTGTGTGTGAGAGAGAGAGTGCAGGTGCATGAGGATGTGTTTGTATGTGAAGGTGTACAGGTAACGTGAGAGAGCATGTGTGTGTGTGTGTGTGTGTGTGTGTGTCGGGGGGGTATGCATGTTGACGAGTATATGTGTGCATGTGCTGCAGGAGGGTGGTGTGTATGCATGGGTGAAGGCATATGTGAGGGTGTACACGTGAATCTGAGACTGTATGTTGTGTAAGGGTGTCTGTGCGGGGGAGATGTATATGAAGAAGTGTGTCTGTGTGAGGCGGCAGGAGTGTGGTGTGTGTATGTGAGAGTGTATGAATGCAGGTGAGAAGGTACAGGTGGATGAGAGTCTGTCCCTGAAAGGGGCAGGAGTGTCCGTAACAGGTGTGTGGGAGGCTATGCGTGTGTCTATATGAGTGAACGTGCTTGGGGGGTATGAGGACACAGAGAGGGGGTGTGAGGAGATGTGTGAGTGAGTGAGGTGGTACATCTGAAGAGATTTGCATGTATTTGTGTGTAAGTGTGTGTGTGTGCACATAGGTGTGTTTATATACATCTGCATACACAGAAGTAGAAACCTTTCCTTCAAGGAAAAAAGAAAAACTGGAAGAAAATATTTTCATAATAGTAGTCTCTAGTGGCGGAATAAGAGGCAAATTTTATTTTCGTGACTTCTTTTTTACTTCGTAGTCAGAAAGACAATGAACATTTCAGTCTGTTTGCTTCATTCCAAGAATATGTGACAAATATTGTACCTTTCTGGAAACATGTAAAAATGATAAAAATCTTGACTGCTGAAAGGTTTCTTGATAGGAACGTGTTTGAAAATTGGAATTCTCTTTTTTAACATATAACCAAATAGATCTCTAAGTTTCTGGTTAATTTAATAGAAGGAAATCCTGCCTTTAAATCTGAGAACCATATACATGTTTAATTTTTCATGTAACTAATGTAAGGCCCACTCATGTCATGCTGTTACAGGAAGCTAAAGTGCTTTAGGGTTTCCAAAGCCTCAAAACATAAACATTAACAGGAATTATCGATGATGGAGGGGCTTAGGTAATTATTGTCTTTTTCTTTTAGTTTTTGTTTTTTTACAGGTGGTTTTTTTAAAAAAATAATGCTCCTATAGGGCTTATGTAGTAAGGTTTCTGTCAAACTGATTTAGTAGCAGGTTGCTTTCCTAAGTCAGTGCAAAAGGCCCTGAGTTCTTTCACTTACGCTCCATGATCTCTGCGCTGCCCCATTTTACTAATAATAACATACGAGGTTTTCCCGATTCTAGGCTAAATCTTATTAATAGTTTGTGGGAGTAAATGGCTGAAGTGTTCTTCTATTTTTAATTTATTTCAACCTTAGATGTTTTCTTAAAGTGATTTGCTATCATCAACATCAGGCGTCTGCAACCCAATTTATTTTGTACTGTTATCTGTGGGCTCCATGGTATACACATAATGTGAATCAGTTGCTTGGAGTCCTGGGTAACTAGTTTACTTTTATGTAGATAACAATTAAAAAAATGGGGATTCTGTATACCATACCTTTCCTTTACACTTAAAAAGCAACCCCGGCTATTAAAATACACACAGGGCAAACTCTATTACAAATGCTATTAAGTTTGGCTGCAGAACATGTATCACTGAACCATGAGTGAGAATTCAGACCCACAGATGCTTTTTATTGTCTGATTAGTGCTTCTTCACTTGTCTCAATAACACATCTATCAAAGAGATTCACTTCAAACAACATTACTTGGAAACTGCTAGTAAAATGTTGACAGAAACGGTCTTCAAACCGACTGTGACACTTTTCCTAGGGCAAAAGAAAGAGCAACGGGGCTGAACTCCACCACATCAGACCGCTGCTGGGGTTCAGTGAACACTTTATTTTCCCACTTGAATTTGAGCTCTTCTGCAAGGTCACTCCTGCCGATCTTGCGGAGATGGCGAGCCAGAAGACGAAGTTTGTCCGTGGAATTTGGGAGTGATCTTTTCCAAAAGCAAAGAAGGTCGTGGGTCTGGCCTGTGAGATCATCAGGGTTCTTCAGTTTGATGAGCTGAATGGTGCTGTGGCGAAGGGGGAGGGATGAGAAGAGACACAGGGCGTTTTCTTCTGAGAGCTCGTCTGCCAGCCAGTAGAGCAAGTTGTCCCACAGGGCTTCTGCCAGGCACACGTGGGACACTCAGTGTTAGGACCCTTTCATGGAGGGTGTGCTCATCTAACCCTCCAACTGTTCACAGGAAACTTAATCTCTGGTTTGGCCTCTGAGAAGCAGAAAGATTTGGGACCAGCCAGGTGGACAGTTGAGAGTCTTTGAATCCCTGCCCTTTCTGGGGTCTTCTTCTGAGGGTTAGGGTCTTCTTCTGAGGGTTAACCCTTCTTGCAAAGGGTTAGAAATGCTTCTCAAATTTTAACTTCCCTGAGATCCAGTAGGGCTCATTAAAATGGTGTTTAGGCCCCCACCCCGGATAGTCTAATTAAGTAAAACTAGGATAGGGGCAAATCTTGGCATTTTTAACAAGTTCCCAGATGATGCTGACGCTGAGGTCCTCAACCACACTTTGAGTAGCACTATATTAGAAGACATTTTTAGATTCAAAAACTACTTCCCTTAATTTGTACTAACCTGATGCATAAATTATAGCAGCAGCTAGGCAATCCTCATGCGCCAACCCCCCAACTACACACACACACACACACACACACACACACACACACACACACACAAACTCACCAAAATTCAATATACAAAGAGCAATTCTGTAGAAGGTCCATTTCACCAACATTCCCCCTGGCTTCTGGACTATTTAGAACTACACACATCTCTGAATATATCCTGTAAGTTCAGCATACCCCTTCCCTTACCCTGTGACTCCTGGCTACCACCTAAACTCAAGATTCCAATTTTCTGTTGTTTGGTTGTTATTTATTTTATTGTGTAGCTCAAATCCATCGCTCTCAGCAAACCCCTCAAGCCCTTCTCTCTCCTTGCACACATCAGCCCTAACTTGCGTCAGTGATTTTCTCCCACTCATGCAAAACTCTGCTCCAGTTTCCCTGGTTTGGTGTCAGAAAAGAATTCTATGTCTGCCACCTTTTACTCTGTTCTTTCCATCTACCTACTCACATAAATTGCATCTGCTTTTACACTATAAATCATGCCACTTTTCTGTGAAAGCTACTCAGGAAATGGAGCCAACACATCCTTCCCCTCCATTGCCACTTTCAAACCAACATTCTGCTTCCCTCTTGCAGTATATTCATTTTTATTGTCCATGCTACATGGGTAGGCTTTCCTCTCTCTATCCACATCAACTGTCTCCTGCCATTGGCAGGCAGCAGCAACAGCAACCCTGTTGATAGTCAGTCATACCTCTGACCACATGATTTCTTAATCTTGTCAACATCACTGACCTGTGTGGTATCTCCATATTAAAAACTGACTTACATGGCCAATCCTTATGTTTCATCATTAGCTAGAACTATTCCACTTCCATGGCTTCAGCTGCTCAATATTACTGCTCACCACTACCCCCTAAACTTCCACAGCTTCTGTTCCTTTGTTCCTGCTTAATATGTTTCTTGCCCCATCACTAATACAGCAAGTCCTTTGACGCCTGCAGTCATTCCATCATCTCTGCCTCTGTACCCATACTGCCCTAATGATCAGCTGTGTAGGTCAATAATGGTCTTGCATCCACCTTAAAATCTGTTGTCCTTTTTAGCTTTCAATGTTCTCAATTTGTCAGTCTCCAATTCTGTCTTACTCACATTGCAGTCAACTACAGGGATGCCCAGGGTTATGAAATGATACTGAATGTGATCAACAAGCTCTAAGCTTTGTACACAATTTAAGCCTTTAGCAGCTTACAAATCCATTAAAAACTCTGTTTCTTGAATTCAATTTAAAATTTTCCAGAGCAATGACATAATACTTTCCTACCATCCTTAAGCCCCAATCTCACTCTTATTTTGTTTCACTAGGCCAGTGTCAGTCTCTCCTAACTTTCCCCAAAGCCATTTGACCAGAGTTCTCATAACCTCATTTTCATTTCAAAATCACTTTCTTACAGAATCTCACTCCTCCATGTTTTCTGGGTGCCATCCCCACAGTGTTTTTCATCTAATAATTTCCCTTCACACCTGTTCCTTAACCTCCTCATCAGGTTCTTTCCATTCTTCCCACAGGCACTCTCAAGCCTCCCCTTTCCTTGCTTCTGCTGCTGTTTCAAGCTCTCAGGCTATCTCTCCCCGTCCTTTTACCATAAAATCTTTTCATGCCTACTGTAAATCTGATGCCTTAAGTCCATCACTATCAACTCACTCCTTAAGCCCTTGCTTTAGAGGTTATATAGCCTCTTTTTAAAAAAATTATTTTATTGAAGTATAGTTGATTTACAATGTTGTGTTCATTTCTACTGTACTGCAAAGTGATTAAGATATATATATATATATATATATATATATATATATATATATATATTCTTTTTGATATTCTTTTCCATTATGGTTCATCACAAGATATTGATGTCCTCTTTTAAAACTCTATTAAAGCCTTATTTTCCAATCTTTCTAGAGCCCTCCTAAATACTACTTACAGCAACTGATTGTCAGTCTACATCTTCTCCGACTTCCACAGAGCATTTTACTCCTTCCCTTGGGTTCCATGGCCTGCCCTGCTCTTCCTCTTCCCTCTCTTTTCCCTTTGCTGACTGTCTTCCTCCTGATTGTGCTGAATTACTGCTTCCTATCTCAGGCCCTTTCTATTTCTGTCCCCTCCCCTCAGTGAATTCACCAACTGCCTTAATAAAGGGTTCTGCATAATTGCCATAAAGATGCTCACCAAACTTGGAAGAAGAATGGATGAACACAGTGAGAACTTCAACAGAGACAGAAAATATAATAAAATACTAAACATAAGTTATAATTGAACTTAAAAATACACTTAAGGGATTCAACAGCAGACTGGATAAGGTAGAAGAACAAATCACTGACCTGGAACACAAAGCAATAGAAAACCAAGACTGAGCAGCAAAATGAAAAAAAAAAGAAAAAAAAAAAAAAAGAAAGAAAAGGAATTTTAAAAAGTAAATATACCTTTAGGAAAACATTAAATGGAATAACTTTCATATTATCAGGGTCCCAGAAAGAGAAGGAAGAGAGAAAGAGCCAGAAGAATTCTTTAAAGAAACAGTGGCTGAAAACGTCCCTAATCTGAGTAAGAAAAGAGACATCAATGTCCAAGAAGCTCAGAGATTTACAAATAAGATGAACCCAAAGAGACATACACCAAAACACATTACAATTAAAATGGTAAAAGTTAAGGATAAAGAGAGAATCCTAAAAGTAGCAAGAGAAAAACAACTTGTTACATGCAAAATAACCCCCCATAAGTCTATCAGCAGAAATTTTACAGGTCTGAAGGGCAAAGGCATGATATATTCAAAGTGCTGAAAAAAAATTTTTTTCCAACCAATAATTCTCTATCCAGCAAGCTTAGCATTCAAAGTTGAAGGAAACATCAATAGTTTCCAGATAAGCAAAAGCTAAAGTCCATCACCAGTAAACCAGCCCTGCAACAAATATTAAAGGGACTTCCTTAAGCTGAAAAGAAATTGCACTAATTAATAGTAAGAAAACATACAAAAGTAAAAATCTCATTGGAAAATGTAAATATATAATGGAGGTAGTGGATCAATCACTTGTAAAGCAAGTATGAAGGGTAAAAGACAAAGGTAGAAAATTAAAATTACAATAATTAGTTAAGGAGTACATAAAATAAAAAGATGTAAAATGTGTCATCAAAAATAGAAAAGGGGGATGGGAAGTAAAAGATAAAGATTTGGAATGTGTTCAGATTTAAGTAGGTACCAACTTAAAACAGGGTACTATTTACATTGGATGTTCTATGTGAGCCTCACAATAACCACAGGAAAAAAAATAATAGTGAATACACAAAAGAAAATGAGAAAGAAATCTAAACAAAACACTAAAGAAAACTACCAAAACACAAGGGAAGAGAGAAAGATAAGAACAACAACAAAAAAAAAAAACTATAAAAATAGCCAGAAAACAATTAACAAAATGGCAATAAGTACATACCTATCAATAATTACTTTAAATACAAATAGACCTAATGTTCCAATCAAAAGATATAGAGTGGCAGAATGGATTAAAAAAAAAAAGACCCATCTATACATTGCCTATGAAAGACTCATTTCAGAAGAAAGGACACACAGACGGAAAATGAAGGAGCAGAAAAAGATATTCCATGCAAATTGAAATGAAAAGAAAGTGGAGTAGCTACAGCCATATCGGACAAAATAGACTTTAAAACAAAGACTGTAATAAAAGACAAAGAAGGGCATTACATAATGATAACAGGATCAATCCAGTAAGAAGATATAACATTTATAAATATATATGTACCCTACAGAGAAGCACCAAAATATATAAAACAAATAATAATGGACTTAAAGTGAGAAATTTAAGCAATACAACAATACTAGGGGATTTTAACACCTCACTTACAACAATGGATAAATCATCCAGGTAGAAAATCAATAAGGAAATATTGGACTTAAATGACACATTAGACCAGATGAACTTACTAGATATACACAGAACATTCTATCCAAGAGCAGTGGCATACACATTCTTTTCAAGTGCACATGGAACAATCTCCAGGATAGATCATATGCTAGGCCACAAAACAAGTCTTGATAAATTCAAGAAGACTGAAATATTATCAAAGCATCTTCTCTGACCACAATGGCATAAAGCTGGAAATCAACTACAAGAAAGAAGCTGGAAAACCCACAAAAATGTAAAGATTAAACAACTTGCTACCAAACAAACAATGGATTATTAGGAAATCAAAGAAGAAATAAGACATACTAAAATCTATGGAAAACCACCAGCAAAAGTGGTTCTAAGAGGGAAATTCTTAGAAATGCAGTCCTACTTCCAGAACAAGAAAAATCCCAAATAAACAATTTAACTTTATACCTAAAGGAACTAGTAAAAGAAGAATAAACAAGTAGAAGGAAGGAAATTAGTAGAAGGAAGGAAATAATAAACATCAATGCAGAAAAAAATGAAATAGAGACAAAAAATAGAAACAATCAATGAAACTAAGAGCTGTTTTTTTGAAAGATAAACAAAATGAACACATCTTTAACTAGACTAACCAAGAAAAAAAGAGAGAGCGCTCAAATAAGTGAATTCAGTAATGAAAGATAAGTTACAACTGATACCACAGTAATAAAACAGATCACAAGAGACTATTCTAAACAAATATATGACCAAAAATGGGCAATCTGGAAGAAATGGATAAATTCCTAGAAACATGCAATCTCTCAGGGGTGAATTATGAAGAAATAAATCTCAATAGACAAATTACAAGCAAGGAGATTGAAGCAATAATCAAAAAGTTCCCAACGAACAAAAGTCCAGGACCAGATGGCTGCACAGATGAATTCTACCAAATATTCAAGAAGATTTAATACCTATCCTTCTCAAGCTCTATCAAAAAATTGAAGAGTTGGGAACACTCCCAAACTTGTTTTACAAAGCCAGCATTACTCTGATATCAAAACCAGTCAAGGACACCACACTCACACACACACACACACACACACACACACACACACACAAAATCCAGACCAAATCCCTTGATGAATGTAGATGCAAAAATCCTCAACAAAATATTATCAAACTGAATCCAACAATTTATTAAAATAATCATATACCACAACCAAGAGGGATTTATTCCAGGAATGCAAGGATGATTCAATGAATTGATAGCCACAAATTAATTAATGTGAAGAATCACATTAACAAATGAAGGATAGAAATCATTTGATCATTTCAATAGATGTGGAAAAAGCATTTGACAAAATTCAGCATCCCTTTATGATAAAAAAAACTCTTAACAAAGTAGGTATAGAGGTAACATACCTCAACATAATAAAAGCCATATATAACAAACCCACAGCTAACATCATACTCACTGGTGAAAAGTTGAAAGCTTTTCCTTGAAGAACAGGAATAATACAAGAATGCTCATGATTACCACTGTTATTCAACATATTATTGTAGTCCTAACCATAGCAATTAGGCAAGAAAAAGAAATAAAAGACATCCAAACCAAAAAAGGAAGAACTAAAACTATCATATTTGAAGATGATATGATGCTGTATATAGAAAACCCAAAAGATTCCACCAAAAAACCATGAGAACTAATAAATGAATTCAGAAAAGTTGCAGAATACTAAATCAATATACAGAAATGTGTGGCATTTCTGTACATTAATAACAAACTATCAGAAAGAGAAATTAGAAAAAAAAATCCTGTTTACAATTGCATCAAAAAGAATAAAATATCTAGGGATAAATTTAACCAAGGTGAAAGACCTGTATATTGAAAACTATTAAACACTGATGAAAGAAATTGAAGACACAAACAAAGGGAAAGATATTCCATGTCCATGGATTGGAACAATTAATATTATTAAAATGTCCATACAATTCAAAGCAATATACAGATTCAGTGCAATCTCTATCAAAATTCCAATGGCACATTTTACAGAACTGGAACAAATAATACCAAAAACTGTATGGAACCTCAGAAGATTTCAAATAGCCAAAACAATCTTGAAAAAAAAGAGCAAAGCTGGAGGTGTCATGCTCCCTGATTTCAAACTATACTACAAAGCTAATCAAAAGAGTATAGTATGGCCATAAAAACAGACACACAGATAAATGAAACAGAATTGAGAGCCTAGAAATAAACCCACATAAATATGGACAATTAATTTATGACAAAGGAGCAAAGAACATACAATGGTGAAAGGATAGTGTATTCAATAAATGGTGTTGATAAAACTGGACAGCCACATGCAAAAAAAACAAGAAAGAAAGAAACTAGACCACTATCTTACATCATACACAAAATTGAGCTAAAAATAGATTAAAGACTTGAATGTAAGACCTGAAACCATAATAATCCTAGAGAAAAACATAGGCAGTAACCTCCCTGACATCATTCTTATTTATGTTTTTGTGGCTCTGACCCAAAGACAAAGGAAACAAAAGAAAAAATAAACAAATGGGACTATATAAACTAAAAAACTTCTGCAACGTGAAGGAAAGCATCATCAAAATGAAAAGGCAACCTACTGAATTGGAGAAGATATTTGCAAATCATATATCTAATAAGGTGTTAATATCTGACATACATTTAAAAAACTCATACAACTCAATAACAAGCAAACAAATGATTTAAAAAATGGGCAGAGAATCTGAACAGACAGTTTTACAAAGACAGAGATGGCTAACAGGTACATGAAAAGATGTTCAACATTTTTAGGGAAATGCAAATCAAAATGACAATGAGATATTACCTCACACCCATCAGAATGGCTATTATTGAAAAGAGAAGAAATAACAAATGTTAGAGAGGATACAGAGAAAAGAGAACCCTAATTGTTATGGGACTGTAAATTGGTGCAGCCATTATGGAAAACAGTATGGAGGTTCCTCAGAAAATTAAGAATAGAACTACCATATTTCCACTTCTTGATATTTATCCAAAGAACACAAAAACACTAAATTGAAAAGATGGATGCACCCCTATGTTTATTGCAGCATAGAAACAGCAAAAGTGCCTATTGATGGATGAATGGATAAAAAAGGTGTGGTATATATATATACACAATTAAATATTACTCAGCCATAAAAAAGAATGAAATCCTGCCATTTGTGACAACATGGATGGACCTTGAAGGTATTACGCTAAGTGAAATAATTCAGGCAGAGAAAGACAAACACCACATGATTTCATTCATATGTCTAATCTCAAAAAACAAAACAAAGGAACAAATAAAATAAACCCAAAACAAACTCATAGATACAGATATCAGAATTTTGGTTTCCATAGAAGAAGGGGGTTGGAGGGTTAGTGAAATGGGTGAACAGGGTAAACTGTATGGTGATGGATGGTAACAAGACTTGTAGTGGTGATCACTGTGTAGTGTATACACATGTTGAATTATACTGCTGTACACCTGAAATTTATATAATTTTTTAAAAACTTACATTAAGAAGTTTTAATGGGAGGAGGTTAAGAATCAACATAAGAACAATGTAAATTTAAGTATATTGACACTGTAGCACTGTAAAATAAGTGAATAGAATTTTTGAGATATGAACTATGTACTTAATCCTCTCAAAAAATTGAGAAATGCCAATTTAAATAGTGCAGCAGATTCTATCATTCCCATCAACAGGTATATGACCTGAACTGAGTCTAGGACAAGAGGTGCACATTGGATTTTTTCTTTTCTTTGTGTAAACAGTTTACCCCCTCAGTCATTCTTTCTTTGCAGATGTCTCATAGCACCTTGAGGCACTGAGAGTGATTCTAGTGTTTATGTATTTTTTCACATACGTGAAAATTCAAGCCACATTCTTTATCTGGTGCCCAACCACAGAAGCAGTGGATTGTGGATGCACAGGAAATCTTGGGCTCTTTTACACTTCCAGGCACTGTGCTGGTCTCCCATATAGCCTCGTTATTCAGGGATTTTCAGTGCCCCCTTCCTATTCCTTCCCTTCCCTTTTCTTTGTTTCTTCCCCCATGGTTTTTTTCTGTGCACTATTTTTGCCTTGCATACCACCTTTTAAATTTCACTGGTACTCAGGGTCAGCTCCAAGCCAAACAGGGAAGCCTCTGTTTGTCCTGGAGTGTCCCCTCCCACAGATTCTGTATCTACATGTGTTTCCTTGGATGCCTTCATTGGCAGGACTGGCTTTAACTTTTCCCTACTTTCCTCTCTTCCTTTCTTCCAATCAAAAAGTGCTATTCTGTTGCATCTTCTCAGGATCTACTATTTGCTAAAGGAATTTTTATTATTCCTCTCAGGTAACCTGATTTTATGTTAATATTGTATATTTTATTTTGCTTAATGCAGTTTCTAAAATGTCACTGTCAACGTGTTACTGCTCAGGAAGATTGTCTGGCAAATTTAAACCTGGCTCTCAAGTTCTCAGTAATATACATATACCTTGTAAAAGGGTGTAGTGGGGCTTATGTGGCAGTTTTTCTTTCACTATAAGTCTTTCAAGGGCATCAGTATAAAAGTATAAATAACTCGGATATGTACAGATATGTCTTATTTATGCTGCAAAGCACAACAGAGATCTCATTGACTTAGAAGTGTTTTTAAAAGATTGGAACCAAAGACAGCCACTCACACCTGGAAGGGGTATGTGTCTTGAAGTTTACAGGTCACTGTTTTTTAAGACTCCTTCAATTACTGACTATTCTTTCCATCCTTCTTAAGTACAACCCTGTTATTGAATTCTTAAAACTAAGCAAACCATTTTTTAGTTCAGATCATACATGTACCACCTTGATCTTTTGTGTGCAACCCAATAAATTGGACTTGGGCACAACCTTTATTTTACCCAACATTGTTTTCCATGGCACATCTTAAAGTTTCCTTTCATTGTATCTTTATACCACTCCAAGAACCAGCCATGATCAGTCTTGGCTGTACTTGTTAGACTGCCATCTCTTTGAGGGCCAATAAGGTATCTTGTTCCTATATTAATTCTTCACCGTGCTTTACATGGTATTGACATATACACATAGGATAGTAAAAACTGTTTATATGATACCTTCTCTTGACTTGAATGATCTCCTCCTTCAAATCCTACCATATTTACAAAGCCATTGGTCAAATTCCCCCTCTTTTATCAACTACACTAGTCCCTGGTTTCTTATTTGTGAATTTATGCACTGCCACTCAATTTATCTCTTAACTTAATGTTGTCTTGTGTTGTCATCAATGCCATTCATATATCCTTATTCGCATATGTTTGTTTTCCCTCCCCAATTAGACTTTCAGTAATTTTTATATCCTTTTATTTTCAATCAAATAAATAATTTTATTAACATCATAATTTTTTTTCCTCATCATAAAGTTTTGATCTCAAATAACTGTCAGGTCTGCTACTCAAATGAATTTATAGCTGGACAATTTATGGAACCCTGAAGATACCTGTTCCCAGTCCAGGTTAGTGTCCATTGCAGATAGTTCTCACTTTCCTTCTCCAGCCCCTCAAGGGCCTTTGCAATATCTCTTTCATTTTATGCCCAGAATCCCCTGAAATGTATCAGAGTATAACATCAACTTGTACAGAATACCAAGATCTCATCTCCTATTCTAGTTTCCTTGTCAAAAAAGCTAAGTTAGGCTATCCAAACAAACTGGCCAGACAGATTATATCAGATAGTGTGTCACACAAAATATAAATTTTCAACAAAATACATCTTTCCTTCTTTGGTCTCACACAGAAACTAAAGTCCCAAAATACAGACAATACCATCCTCCACCCCTTCTTCTGATTCATCAATCTTAGCCAAGTCAGCCCCATTCACACTCCCAGTAGGAGTCTGGTCCCCTGCTCAGCTTCTTTAGCAGTTGCTGCATGAAATCATCTTCTAATAATAATGCAGCTCCTTTGGCACCTCCAGAGCTAGAGAACTCCATCTGTGAGTCTCATGAGCCACACACACAGACCCAACATTCCAGGGAGCTATCTGGTCGCACAAGAAAGAGCAAAGTACCTCAAAATTTAGAAATAACCCAAAGCCCAGGAACAAATGTGATTACAAGATTCCTTACAAGAAGCTTGCAGCTTCTCTTACCACTGCAAGAGGCTTAGGCACTAATTCTCATATGTAAGGGCATTTCCCAAATAAAAGTTACTTCCCCAAACAAAAATTTTTGACACTTACAACTCATATTGAGGTCATTAACCACAGACCATAGCAGAACCTTAGTGTAAGTGAGGACAGTGTGTAAACAGAGAGAAAAAGAGAAAAAAGACCCTCTTGCTTCAGCTTCTTTAGGTTGTCAGCCAATCTCCATTGCTTGACCAGAATCCATTATCTATAAACGGCTGACCCTCTTTCAAGACAATTGCTTTTCTTTATCCACTGGACTAGGTCAGCCAACATCTATCTCTGCTATCTTTGCAGTTTCCTTCGCCTTCTCCTCCACCTTTTCACACCTTTCGGTCAATCTGCCCTCAATTTCATCATCTGGATTCTGAAGATGACTCAGAGTGCTTTTCTCCAAGGCTTCCACCTGGGTTTTTATTTGGATGAATATATGGTCCATCTCTTACAACTTGCTCCTATTCTGCCTATATGCTCTCCTGTGCACTCCGGTGCAAGACACAGTAGTCTCCTGCATCTTGCTGATGACTGGAAACAGGAACTGCTCAAAATATTCCTCAGACCCCAGCACTTTCACTTTCCCTGGTTCCACCAGTTCCACGATGTCCAAGAGCTGCATTTCCCCTGCTACTTTAGAATCACAGTGTGGACCTGAGCACAGAGCGGTGGACAAGCAGTTGACCTAGAGGTCAACCAGAGCTCTGAGTGTCATGGCCCCTTTCACCACAACGCTGTGCCTCTACTGAAACAAAGCTCCTTTCCAAGGTGCCACATCAGCAAACATTCATGTCCCTGTAAATGCTCTGCTTGACCAGAAAGGCAGTGTATCCAGTCAGCCAGTTTTCAAAGGCCAAGCCAGCTCTGGGCCTTCTCACCCCCAACAAGAGTGACTATGTGACCCCAGCCAATCAGATATTTTCTATTTGTCTCATCCTTGCTCTTTTTCTTTATCTTATGAAAGTTTCTTGACTTCTGCCCCATTTTGTAGTTCTCTGAAAGGAGACTGTCCACTTCATGAAGTCTTAAATAAATTTTATTTGTATGATGTAAATTATCTTCTTTAATCATTTTAGCACCTCTTACAGTCATGCCACTGGTAGAACCTATTGTATCATTTTCTGTGTTTTCTTTTATATCAGCACTTCTGTTTACCACAGGGTTACCACACCGTACCCTGAATCAATTCCTGATAACTTCAAGGACTCTCTGTGGACAATTATGAAGATTATTATCACCACAAATTTAAAGTCTGTAGTTTCAGCTGGGCACCAGGGCTGCTCAGCAATATTTTTATGTATCACTGGAGATTTCTTCCACCATTCCCTACAGAAGACATTGCAACTCTTTACTACTCTTTGCAAGATCTCTACCTCACCCTTGGCTACCACTCCCACCAAGGAGTTTGGTCTTCTACTCACTGAGAAAATAAGGCAGTATTCTCAAAGCTTAGTATTCATAAAAATGAATCTTGAGAAAAAGGCAAAAAAGTAAGCCCACACTTTGATAGAATTGGTCTCAGATAAGGCCACATTTATAACACAGGTGTTTCCGATAGCGAAGTATGGTAGATCCACTTAGAAAAGCACAATCAAGTAGGAATTACATCAATTATCAACTTGCATTCCAAAGGTATCCCAGCAAATGCATGGAAGAATGAAAGAAATATATTTATCCAAGAAGTTATGAAGATTTTCAATATCATGTCAGGACCAAAGTGAAATTCTGATTTCACTTTAGTCCTGATGCTATAGAGATACAGTAATAAAAATAATTTCTGATTTATAAATTGCCCCATAGGTGTCATACAGATGACCTAGTTCTGGTGCATTCCTCCTCACGCAGGAACTCCAACTCTGGCAAAGTCCTCTCCAGGTATTTCTGGCAGTCCTATGGGCTTTACTCTCTTGGTATCCACATGTTCTACCAGATACACCACAATGCTCAGCCAGGAAATATAGCCATCCACGCTCTTTTTGTGGGCACAACAGTTTCCTTCCTGTGTCTATCATGGAGTCTATCATGTGCACTACCACGTAGTGCACCATGTTGGTTTCTACCCATACCACACTTTTGCTCCCAAGGTAGCACATAAGCACAGTTGTTCCACATCAGTGGTCACCACAGGTTTGTTCTGCTGCAGTCCCAGCACCGTTCTGCTGGATCCTTCCAGTAGTGATACCGTTCTGACCTACTCTATATGGAGCCCATGATCTCTCCTACTTTTCTCCCAAGCAAAGCAATTCTCCATTAGTGGCCACCCTAAGCCCTCTTGGTATGTAAGTTGTATGGTAAAGTGTGATAGAATGAAGGAAGTTTTTTTGTTTGTTGTTTTTTTTTTTTTTAGTAAATTTATTTATTTATTTTTGGCTGCATTGGGTCTTCGTTGCTGTGTGCGGGCTTTTCTCTCTTTACCTTGAGCAGGGGCTACTTTTAGTTGCGGTGTGCGGGCTTCACATTGTGGTGGCTTCTCTTGTTGTGGAGCACAGGCTCTAGGTATGTGGTCTTCAGTAGTTGTGGAACGCAGGCTCAGTAGTTGTGGCTCACAGGCTCTAGAGTGCAGGCTCGGTAGCTGTGGCACATGGGCTTAGTTGCTCCATGGCATGTGGAATCTTCCCGGATCAGGGCTCAAACCCATGTCCCCCGCGTTGGCAGGCAGATTCTTAACCACTGCACCACCAGGGCAGTGGTTTCCCATTCTGCGCTTCATAATATGTGTGATATCATTGTTTCCCAATGGATAGTGGGAAACAGTGATATTCTTGACACCTAGAGAAATATCCTATCTCTTTTTTTCTTTTACTGAAGTATAGTTGATTTACAATATGGTGTTAATTTCAGGTGTACAGCATAGTTATTCAGTTTTATATATATATATATATATATATATATATATAGAGAGAGAGAGAGAGAGAGAGAGAGAGAGAGAGAGAGAGAGAGAGAG